AGTACACTGCACATTATTTTAGTTTCACGTGTGTACTAATTGTTGTTTCTAAGAACAGATTAGATCTTTAGCTTTTTTAAACTTATGTAGTTATCAATGGAATAAAGCCAACTACAAAATAAGAATCAACAGAATGCGGTAATCCAATCCTAAAGGACAGTCAAATGTACTTACACATGTTCAAGAAATCAAAATAATAATTAGTTCATTTGTATCCTTATTATTATTATTACTTTTTAGATTCTTCATATAAATGACATCATATGGCATTTTCCTTTCTCTTTCTGGCCCACTTCACTTTGAATGACAGTCTTCAGGTCCATCCATATTGCTGCAAATGGCATTATTTTATTCTTTTTTTATGGCCGAGTAGTGTTCCATTGTATATATGTACCACATCTTCTTTATCCAGTCAACAAGTTCAGATGACCATTTGTTAAGGACGGTTTAGTTTCTTGCAACACGAGGGAGATGGGACCTACTCTCTAAAGTTCCTTCCAGGGGGTGGGTATATGCCCAGGTCCTGGGTTCAATCCCCGGTACCTCCATTAAATTAATAAACCCAATTACCTTCCCCCCAAGAAAAACAAAAGATAATAAATAAATGATACATGAAAACATAAAAATTAAAAAAATAAAGTTCCTTCCAGCATTATTTCTTTTCATGCTTAGAATGTTCTATTAGGAAATTCATCTTTACGATGAAATGAAACTCCATTCCTGAAGTTTCCATCCTCTGGTCGCCATCATGCAGTTGGTAGTCTGGAAGTATACAAAATCATTTTGTCCCATTTCCACATGATGGCCTGTGGGGCCCTCAGTCTTCCTTTCCAGAGACTTCTCCAGCTCAGGGCTCCTGCTCTGACACATACTGGTGTTTCGGTGAGCTTCTTAAAAATTACAACTTCTGGCAAAGGTTAGCCCAGTTAGCAACCTTCTGATACCAAAGTATAAGCCAGTAAGAGCTATTTTGAGCTAATCCATTTCACTTTTAAATATCTCCAGGTACAAAAGAATTTTACCTTCTTCCTTTGGCCGGAACCTCAACAGTCAGTGTCTCCTTTAGATGATGTATTGCGCCAACAGAAAGTGTGGCGTCCTTCTCCCTGGTCTCCTGTTGGCAGCTCTGCAGCAAAGTTCCCCTGACATTCCTGTTCATATTTATTCCTTCCCTAAGCTTCCAGGAGGTTCAGAGGAAAAGAACCATCACCACATAAAGCCAAACAGAGGACTCTGGACCTCCTGGCAGAATGTTCACCCCAGATGCCCTGCTCTGTAGAGCCCTTGGCTAAAGCTAGCATTTAAATTAGCTTCTGGATGAAGAAGTGGGTCTCACAATGAATAAATTGCTGCTTTTTTTTTTTTTTTTTGCCATTAAGTGCATGATCTAAACCAATCTGCCCTGAGGAGGAGCTCACAAGAGATCCTCACAGTTAGCTGCCAACAATAAAAATCTCTCTCTTTTCTTTTACTCTTGACCTAAGAACAAGGTTCCGAAGAACCCTTATCTTTTTATCTATGGTGTCAGCCGAAAGTAGTTGGGGTTTATTGTTTCTTTTGTATTATTGAACTCTCTTCTGAGAGAAATTAGATAGAGAAAGTACAAGGGAAGTCGGCAAACAGCACATTTCTCCATTTCAAGACAAAGAGTCATGTGCACAGGGGTTTGGGTATTTTTTCCCTGAGATTATTAGTACAGAGCTAAATTTACCCAGTGTAATTAATTAGCACACACTGAACAACTAATCAACACTGATTCACTATTGTCATTTGGAAAAAAATTTTATTAGGAAAAGAGTAATTTTCCAGTTGAGTCATCAAATTGAATATGGATAATTGCATTGTCGTTGACAATAGTTGTTTTGACAAATATTTATGAAACATGCCATGTTAGGCCATCAGAAATGTGTTTAATTTTAGGGATGTGCTGTTTAGCACAAAAGCCTCAAAAACTGGGAGTTGTCAATGGGAGGGTTGGTGTTCCTGGAAGCCCTGTCTTTTAGTGCAATAATTTGGAATAATTTAGGGGAAAGAAAAGATGTGTTCTTGTTATTCCTCATATTGTAGTAATGAAATTTGTTGGTGGGAAGTTAGGAAAGAAGGTAACTGTTTAGAAGACAACCCACAGTAGCTGTATGTGAAATTGTAGCTGATTTCTCTAAATTCAGACCATATAAGAAATCACTCTCACGGCGATTGCAAAGCCATGCCATTTGAAATTCCATTTCAGAGCAGTCCCATTAGTGCACCATCAATGGAGTTACATTTCATAGCTTCATGAATTGACATGGAAGGGAAACCTACCAGCCACTACTCTCTCACACATAGGGAGAATATAATGAATCTAAAAATTATATATCATGGTAAAATTTTTTAATCTGTAGTATAATTTTGTTATTTTCGCCTTTTCCAATGTTCACATCTTACAATATAACTAATCAAAAGAAATGGCATTTCCACTGGCAGGTACTCAGTGAGTCCACCTGGGCAGTGGTGCGAAAATTTCACACTGAACTGACACAGTGCTACTGTGGTTTCTTTAATAGTCTCACTTGGTTGGAACTCTTGAGGTGAAGAACCAGTCTTACTTATCACTGATTTTTTCCTTTTTTAGTTAAGGTTCCCTATTGTGTGTGATTCTCGGGCTGGGTCTCAGCGATATTAACAGCTTTATCCAGACTTGTGTCTGCCTTTAACTATTTTTTTCATTTAGGGTAGAGTTTCATCTTCGGCAATTATTGCTATTCATACATACACTCATCTGACTGATTCTCCTTTTTCTGAGACAGTCTTTAAAGCATATGAGATACAAAGGATGAAATTCAGCTGTGCTTAGAGAAGAGCCTCTGTATTTCCCGTCTCTTCCTCTTTTCTCCTTTCAGCATACACTGATCATAGGCAGTTACGAGTGACGTAATAATCCGTGGAAATCTCAGTAA